TGTGAACAGGGTTTCCTGCGGCCACAACGGCTTCACCACCGTGTGCAAAAAAAGAAAAACATTTCCTCACGAGCTTGCCAGGAGTCTAACCTAGAATCTTCTGATCCGTAGTCAGACACGTTATCCATTGCGCCACTCACCCCACAAGCGCAAGTCAAGATCTCTCGGTGGTCCCTTGTGGAGGAATGTTCCGGTCCTGAATAAAGTAAAACAGCAAATGAATAAGTTCAGCATGCCATGACGTGGATTCAAAACGGGGTTGCTGTGGACACAACGCAGAGTACTAACCACTATACGATCACCACCTGAAGGAAGTTCTCGTGGGAACAAGTTTCTATTGCTCTGGGCAATGCACCAAGCTGCTCCCGTGAATGATCTGGACATGCCCTTTGCACATGCCTTGACCCGGAGTTGCGACCACAACGCAGAGTACTCAGCACTGTACAATCACGGCCTGACAGAATGACTTGCGGACACAAGTTTGTATTCCAGCTTCTTTTCATAAGAGCAGATGATCTTAAAATACAGTGAAAATGGATCTTGAACAAATACAGAATAACTGAGTTGCTCCTCAAGTCTTGATGTGATACAACAGAGGAAATATATTTTCCACGGGGACCATGTTGCATTACTTCGGCAGACTTTTCCAACCCCAGTGCCTGAGGGACGCTCTCCTGTCTGTATCATATGTTTAGACGTACAGTGATTCCTCGCTATTTCGCGGTTCGTTTATTGCGGCTTCAGTGCATCACGGATTTTTTCAAACATATAAAAAAAAAAAAAAATTGAATTTTTTTTCTTAATGAATATGCAATGAAGGCAGTTTGTAATTTTTCATATTTTAGCAAGAAACACAAAGTTGATGCATTTAAATCCGTTTGCGGACTTTTTGCGGACTTTTTACCTGTATATGTTAATTGGTCGCTTCTTCGCGGATTTTCGTTTATCACGGGTGGTTTTGGTGCCCATTAACCGCGATAAACAAGGGATTACTGTATTAGTAACGGTACTTCACACATTATTTGTATTGACCTTCCAGGACCTTTCTGTCTCTGTCCAATAAATTCAAATTCTAATTTTGTCCTGTATACTGTATACGATTCTTTTGAAACCTTCCAAGACCTTTCCCGCCAGTCCAACAAAGGTCATTCCAGTCCTGTCGTTGACTCGGTGGGAAAGTCCATCTTTGTGTGGCTTTTCAGACGTCTATTCCTTTTCAGTGATGGGATATCTCTCAAAACTCGTGGTTGAAAACTTCAAGACATGGCGAGGGAAACAAGTTATTGGACCATTCATGGAGTTTAACTGCATTATTGGCCCCAATGGCTCCGGTAAGCCCCCCCCCCCACCCCGCCTTTCTTTTCTTTTTTATTTTCACCACGTTTTATGAAAGGCGAGCTAACTCTTGGGCAAAGCTAGCTGCTAAAATACAGTCCTTGGAGTGTCTTAATGTACATCTTTGCACTCATTTTAACTACGTATGTCTCTTTAGAATGTATGAGCTGTTTTATCGACTCGTAAGATATTAAAAGCCACGTTTTCTAGTCGAAAGTTCACCTTGAAACATGCTCGTGGCTATTAATAATGCTGTTTTACCTAACGTTTGATTGAGAAAAAAATATTTTCAACTTGCTTATCTTCAAATTCGTTCTTACAGCATTATTTTTATGTATTTTATTGTGTACCGCTTAAAAGTACTCCTACCAAAAATGTGAATAAAGACATTCTTGTTGTGTTTGTTTCGTGCTTAATTATCGTAAATTACATATGCCCAGGACGTCACAACAAAATGGAAATCATTTTTTATTATTCGAGCAAGACCAATGTCCCCGGAAAGAGCGGGAATAAAAGAACAAAACGATGTTTAAATGTTGTTAAAAATTAAGGAATTGTCACATTTTAAAGGTTTCAAAAATCGGGCAAAAATGTCTCAAACTTTCTGGCCGGTGGTGAGTGTCTGTGCGACGCGGTGTGCCGCTATTCAGGAATAAGTGAGAGTAAAGAGAACCATTTTGAGTCGAGATAAGGGAACGACTACGAGAAAAGCCATATCTGCAGTGCGACCCCCTTCTGCCTATTGTTTATTTGGCTACCTGAGATTCCCACATCTTATCCCCGTGGACGACTCACCCGCGTGATAAAAACTTCTATAAAATCTCAATAGAATGAGTAAACTTCGGGATTAAAAGTTCGATTTGGAAGTTCTAAACTTGTGGTTTTTAAGTATTTAGTTCTTGTTAATACAATTTTTTTTTCAAGTTGTGCATACCTGATATTAGCAGCATAAGGTATTTCAGTGAATTGGAGGAGAAGTCAATGTTTCCGGGATAACTATGGTTTGTAACAACTATGCTATTCTCAAAACCAGGTAAATCCAACGTGATGGACGCCATAAGCTTTGCAATGGGGGAGCGGGCGAGCTCTCTGCGGGTGAAGTACCTCAGTGACCTGATCCATGGAGCTCACATCGGGCAGCCGGTGTCAGACAGAACCTGCGTCACCATGTTCTACCATCACGACCAGGACCAGGAGATCATCTTCTCTCGGGGTTTTTCTGGTCAGCATGTTTTCACTTTTGAATTGGCTCAATATTTGGACTGACAGGAAATGCAAGTGAAGGAAAACGTGGCTTGTCTGTGGAAATTTCCGTCTATTATTATTTTTATTTGTGACTGTATTTTCTCAGGCGACTCCTCCGAGTATCTTATCAATGGCAACCGAGTTACTCTCAGCCAGTACACAGAGGAGCTTGCCAAGATCGGCATCATCACCAAAGCTCAAAACTGCCTCGTGTTCCAGGTAGAAGTGTTCGATTTTATCAGTGCCGGATGGTTAATGCTGGATTTTCAGATCATGTTATTACCGCGTTGGTCACCAGGGTGCAGTGGAGTCCATCGCTTTGAAGAACCCCACGGAGCGTGCCAAGCTTTTAGAGCTTATCAGTCAGTCCAAAGAGTTTGCGGCTGAGTACAACCAGAAGAAGGAGGCCATGCTGAAGGCCAAGGAGGACACCAATTTTCAGTTCAACAAGAAGAAATCAGCAGCTGTCGAGACAAAGCAGATATCTAATGATAAATTAGAGGTGAATAGCATTGGGCGAGTTACTTCTTACCCTTTCAGGGACAACAGTTACTACAGTGGACAGCTTATGATGTTATCAGGTTACAGAGTGCATAAAACAGTTAAATGACTATGAAATCGAAATAGAGTAAACTTAGACTTGATTCTATTCCAATGTTTGCCCCTTAAAACAACAAATGACATTTACTTGGTCTAGTTGTGACATTCCAAGCGTAGTTGTGCTGCCCATTGATCGGTCGTGTTGCAATAATGATTGACACGTGAGAATTTTTGAAAGTGACAGTAAGGAAAAGGCACTCAACAGTCCAGAGTGACCTAACAGGACAAAAAAATAATTCAACTTGAAGCTCTTATAAGGCGTGATGGAACCATTTCTTTTTCTTGTCCCAGGCTAAAAAATACCAGCACCTGCTCGATGATATTCAACAGAAGCGTGTGCAGCTGAGCCTGGCTGGGCTCTACTATAATGAGAAGGCCATCGAGAGGACTAGCGACACTCTGAGTGTCGAGCAGAGTGCTGTGGCCGCTCAGAACGCTTCTCTGCAGGACCATGAGCAGACGGTGAAAACCCTCAAGAAGGAGCATGGACGCCTCTTCAGGGAGCAGCAGCAGATGGAGAAAGAGATACGGTAGACTTATATGTAGTTTGTGTTCAGATTTTTCGATTTTAGTTGCTTTTTTTCACATTTAGGAAAGTATATCTACGAGCCCTCACCGAAAAACTGATTTGAACAACATTAACCATCACAATAAATCGCTCAAAATGTCCACAGTTTTCCCTGTATTCCCACATTTATTATTTTGGGTTAAGGGCAGAAGGTGAATTGAAAGACCTATCTACTGAATCTCATGTCTAGCACCCAGGAGCATGTCCTGTCCCAGTCTCGTTCTCACTTCATCAAAGCCAAAGTGAACACCTCCCATCATCTCAAAAAGATAGACGAACTTCAAGCGTCGATGAAAAAGTGCCAGAAAGCCTTAGCCTGGACGGAGCAGGAACTTGCTGAAGCCCAGCGGGAAAAAGAGGAGTTGGAGAAGACCTGGAGGGTCTATGAGGAACAATTTCGGGGGCAAAGAATGTCCCATGGCATGGACGTTGAACTGGATAAGAGCCAGGTGAGTGTGTTCAAAGAACTTTCGGTATTATAAATGCATCGTTAATTTATTCTTTTATTATTTTCTTGGCGGACTTGCTCGGCAGCGAGAGCGCTACGAAGAACTCAAGGAGCTGTCCAGGAAGCAGAGTGCAGTGCTGGGTCAGCAAGCCGAGAAGCTGCAGATGGATGTCAAGGCAGTCTATGATCAGATAGAGTTTGAGCAGCGCAAACGGAAGGAGGTGCAGGTAATGGCATAATGGAAACTCTGTATCCATGAAAATAGCTACTGGAATGTAGGTACAAAAAATACTCAAGAATAAGAATGCCCAACATGCATGCACCTCATGAATGTGTTTGTGTTTCCCCCTCTTAAGTTGTGTTTAAATGTTCATTTTATGAAGACCTTTTGGACAAGTGATTGCCGCAGTTTCCTTCGGAGCCGTTGCTCATTCGAGCGAGCTTCAGATATGCTGCCACCACCTGGCAGTCTGTTTAATCTAAAAGTAGCCAAAAAATGTCGACCATATCAGCAAGCTCACATCTAATTCGTATGAAATTCAATGGGAAATCTCACATTTTTAGGTTTGAAATGGTGAAGTTGCAAAGGCAACATATGGTGATACTGACTCCTCTGCTATAGGCTGGAATCAAGAACAACAAGACGCAGTTGGATGATTTAAGCCACAGAGCGGAGAAGCTCGAGCAGTACATCAAGGCTTGCAAGTATGTCATGATGCACTTTCCTTCTACCACTTAACAACATTCTGTAGCTAATTTACAGGTTTACAGAAAACCCACGTTATTTGCGAGCGTTAGGGAGATGAAAACATACCACTTCCTTCTTTTAGACATTTTATAATTTTTGTATTTTGAGATACAGTCTCTCTTTTTAGTGTATGGGGTACGTTTTCATCCCTATAACGCAGTTAATTTTCCATTCGCCGATTTTGCTTCCAATGAACACGCTATAACGTAAACTTCATTATAACGACCAAATTTTTCCCACAAAATAGTGAAAAGGCCTTCGTTACAACAAACTGTGGGAAGGTAACTGCTTCTGCGACTTTGCTTATGAACAAAATGTACCGCGGGATTCCACTGTGTTGCCTAGCAAATTTACTGATCGATTAGTACATTGTTGTACTTCCCGAGGCACGGCGCGGTCCTGAGCACATGGTCTGAAAACATGTCTGGTCAACGGAAGCAAATCTCGCTGTCTGTGAAGGCTGAAATTGTCTCTCACTTTTGAAAAGGAGTCTCCCAGATGACTACGAATTATTCACTACAACTCATTATTTGAAGTCGGGCACATAGCTATCTGTTAGCAGCCGATCCACCACTGCCCATAACGATCCAGACTTTTCTCTGCGTCATTTTGAGAAGTTTACCACCCTAATTTCTCTATCGTCAGACACATTTGCGATTATGCGAGTTTGCGAATGGTGAACGGTAACATCGGCGGGGATTCGCTGTTATCAGAATTTTTGTTGACATCCTATTCTCTATAAAATGGAGTCCCCGTGTGTTTGTTTTTAGGTCATCGCTTGATGACCTCTGTCACGAGGAGGAGAGCTTGCAGGCACAGTTGCAGCGTGGCAGAGAGCGTACTGCCCAGGTGAAAGAGGAGCTGGGCCAGGTACTGGAGCAACTGGGGGACGCCCGTCTGGATAGCCAGGAGAGCAAATGGCAGCGACAGCGCAAAGAGATCCTGGAAAAGATGCACAGGCTCTTCCCTGACGCAGTGGTAAGAGATGTATGATGAGGATGATATGAACTGAAAGCAAGACAGGACAAATCTGTCACGTTTCTTGTCCCAGTACGGCCGCCTGTGTGACTTGTGCAGCCCCATCCACAAGAGGTATCAGCTCGCCGTCACCAAGGTGTGCGGCCGCTTCTTGAAGGCCATCGTGGTGTCGACAGAGAAGGCGGCTCAGGCCTGCATCAACTTCCTCAAGGAGGAGCGGGCCGAGCCTGAGATCTTCCTGCCCATCGACTATTTGGATGTAAGTGCTTGAGTAGTACCTCTGAGCCAGGTGAATTTGTCAAGCTACCAGCCTTTTTGGGGGAAACGTGGAAAGGTTACGGAAAATTCATCTGTAAATTATGTTGATTTGCTAACGTCGGATTAGCGTTATCATGTTTGTCCTGCAGAACCCAATCGCCTTGTTGTCCTGCCCTGAACTCTGGCCTTCACCTGAAAAATGATCACGTCATCTGTAATATGAATTGCAACTTGAATCTGCGGTTGGAACAAAAATTTAGGAAATGTGTGTCTTTTCTATCCTTTGGTAGTTCAGGAGCGACTTCCAACTGTTTCTGCTGTGGCAATCGCAGTTAAAGATGACACCCTACGAGAGCAACAACGGTTGGATAACAGTCACGATGTCAGCTGCTTTCGAGTCAGATGCAGCCTGAAAAATTATGCAGAGGCCACAACTTCAAAATTTTATTTGCAGGAAAAAACACTGGCTTCTTAAAGCATGACTTGTTTGGTCGACTGCATGTGGCATTATTAACCATCAGCTCGCATTTTCAGGTGAGTCCCCTGAATGAACGATTGAGGGAGATACCGGGCGCCAGGTTGGTGGTGGACGTTGTGCTCATCAATATGTCCACAAACGTGCCACACCTGAAGAGCGTGGTGCAATTTGTGTGTGGCAACACGCTGGTGTGTGAAACCATTAAAGAGGCCAAGAGCGTTGCCTTTGATGGGGAGCACCGCCTTAAGGTAAACACTTTGTTCAGATGGGTGCAGGAAATGCACACAATGGGCTTTTTTAAAAAAAAATCTGAAATTGGGTGCCTTAGACCGTATCTCTGGACGGGACCCTGTTTTCAAAGTCTGGTATAATCTCCGGAGGCTCCAGTGAACTGCGCACCAAAGCTCGCTGCTGGAATGACAAGGATGTCCTCAGGCTGAAGACTAAAAAAGACCAGCTGGCTGATGAGCTACAGGTAAGTGAACATACATTAAGTGTTCGATGTGCTCTTAATTCATTAAGTTGCAAATTGAGCCATGGAATGCATGGAGAAAGTTTTCCAAAGACCCTGTTAAAATTCTAATCAAAACCCGCACCTCTGCACTGTGAGGCGGACATGCTAACCAGTCAATCACCGTGCCGCCCAATTAGTGAATTAAGTTTATTTTATTAGTGCCCCGTGATGCATATTATTAAATGATATGCAATAATAATTTCCTTGCTAAATAATTTAGGGACCCCCAGGCTACAGCTTCAGATCTCCGTAGGTCCGGGCACCCCAGTTTGAGAACCACTGATGGAAAGAATAATATTTGTTGTCTTGTTGTGTGTCTGTTGTGTTGCAGGAACTAATGAGGTTCAGGCGGAAGGAGTCGGACCTGAAACTGATTATTGCACAGGCTCAGGGTGCCCAGACCCGCATGAAGTATTCAAAAAATGATCTGGATAACCTTGGGAAGAAAAGCATCCCTAAATGCCTCGGGGTAAGACGAGCTCTTGATTTCCATCAGGTTCCCGGTTATTAAAAATGCTAATGCCAGGCGATGTGGTGCCACCTGTTCCTTTTTTATGTGCTTGATAGTTTTGGACATTCTTGTCACTCATTGTCATTTCTCACCAATTGATTCCAGGACATTTCCCGTAATGAGAGTGAACTGGCAAACTTGGATGTCCAGATCCAAATGCAGCTGGAAAGTGTGCAGGCAAAGGAAGCTGCCTTGAAGAACCTTAAAGGCCAGATTGAACAGGTGTCGTACCTTCAATATAAAGAAGTATCAAAGAAAGGTTCATGATCTTTTACAGTTTCAAGATATCTCATGGAGTTTTTTGAGTCGTTAAACTGTTTATTTAGACAGAGGCAATGGTCTTTTCTGACTTCTGTGCTGAGATCGGTGTGGACAACATCAGAGTGTTTGAGCAGGAGCAGCTGAAATATCAGGAAGAGCATGACAGGAAGTGGTATGAATAATATGAGACTCATTGGGATTTATTTTTCTCACTTCTACGGTCGTTTTTTTTTTTTTTTTTTTTTTTTTTTTTTTTTTTTATTTTTCT